TCGAAGTGTCAGGGTGCTTGAAGCAGCTAGAGATGCCATGTGGAGTCTCTGGCAGGCTCCCATAGAGGAATCACAGCGGAGGCCCTTGGAATTTTGGAGCAAGACTCTACCATCATCTGTAGACAACTATTCTGTCTTTGAGAGACAGCTCTTAGCCTGCTATTGGGCCTTAGTGGAAACTGAACACTTGACAATAAGCCAGCAAATTACCATTTGACCTGAGCTGCACATCATGAGTGGGGTGTGATCTGACACACCAAACCATAAAGTAGGTTGTGCACAGAAACAATCCATTGTCAAAAGGAAGTGGTATATAGGTGATCAGACCCGAGCAGGCCTGGAGGGCACAAGCAAGTTACGTGAAGAAGTTACCCAAATACCTTTGGCTCTGATTCCTGTTGCAATGCCTCCTGTTCTCAAGCCAGCATCTACGGCTTCATGGGGTGTGCCCTACGACTGGCTGACTAAGAAAGAGAAGACTAGGGCCTGGTTTACTGATGGTTGTGCACATATCCAGGCACCACCTAGAAGTGGACAGCTGCACTGCCCTGGGACAACCCTAAAGAAAACTGGTAAAGGAAATTCTTCACAGTAGGAAGAATTTTGAGCAGTGAGCGTGGTTATATATTTTGCTTAGAAGGATAAATGGCCAGATGTGTGATTACATATTGATTCATGGGCTGTAACCAATAATTTGACAGGATGGTCAGGGCCTTGGAAGGAGCACCACTCAAAAATTGGTGAGAAAGACATTTGGGGAAGAAGTATGTGGATAGATCACTCCAAATGGTAAAGGACATAAAGATACTTGTATCTCTTTGTAAATGCTCATCAAAAATGATTGCAGCAGAAGATGAGTTCAGTAATCAAGTAGATCAGATGACCTTTTCTGTGACTAGTCAGCCTTTCTCTAGCTATCCCTGTCATCGCCCAATGGGCCCATGAACAAAGTGACCACGGTAGTGGAGATGGATGCCATGCATGGGCCCGACAACTTGGACTCCCACTCACCAAGGCTGACCTGGCTACAGCTGCTGCTGAGTGCCATATCTGCCAACAGCAGAGACCAACATTGAGTCCTCAGGATGGTACTATTCCCCTGAGTGACCAGCCAGCAACCTGGTGGCAGGTTAACTAGACTGGACCACTTACATCGTGGAGGGGATGGCATTTTGTTCTTAAGAACAGACACTTATTCTGGTTATCACTTTGTCTTTCCCACATGCAGTGCTTTTGCCAAAACTACCATCCAGGGACTTACAGAATACCTTGTCCATCATCATGGTATTCCACACAGCATTGCTTCTGACCAGAGAACTCACTTCACAGCCAAGGAAGTGTGACAGTGGGCCTATGCTCTTGGAATCCACTGGTCTTACCATGTTCCCTATCATCCTGAAGCAGCTGGCTTGATAGAATGGTGGAACGGCCTTTTAAAGACACAGTTAAAGCTCCAACTAGGTGGCAATAGCCTGGAGGGCTAGGGCAGGGTCCTCTAGAAAGCAGTATATTTTTTGAATCAGCATCCAACATATGGTACTGTTTCTCTGATATCCAGGATTCACAGGTCCAAGAATCAAGGAGTGGAAGTGGGACTGGCTCTACTCACTATCACCCCTGGTGAGCCATTTGGAAAAATTTTGCTTCCTGGACTTTGACTTTGTAGGTCAAAAGTGTTGGTTGCAGAGGGGTAAGTGCCTCTAGGAGACACAACAAACATTCCATTGAGCTTGAAGCTAAGAATTCCCCTGTCCACTTTGGGTTCCTGGTACCCTTAAGTCAACAAAGAAAGGAATAACCATGTGTGTGGGGGGCTGTGATTGATCCAGACTATCAAGGAGGAAATGGGACATGCTTCTCCACAGTAGGACTATATCTGAAATACAGATCTTTTAGGGCATCTTTTGGTGTTTCCACATCCTGTGATTTAGGTCAATGACAAATTGCAACAACTTTATCTAGGTTAGATGACAAATGGCCCAGATCCTTTGGGAATGAAGGTGTGGGTTACCCATCCAGGAAAAGAGCCAAAAGTTTTGGAGGTTCTTGTGAAGGTAGAGGAAACACAGAATGGACAGTTGGAGGAAGGCAGTTATATTTATAACTGGTATGATATGGTACCTTCTTGACCATAGCTATGCCATGTTAAGGTTTAGGCTGACTCTAGTCTCTGAACTTATCAGGCAGTTGACCCAGAGTATGGGAACACACATCAGCAAAACCCCAGGTTGTCTTGGGAACAGGTCAGCATGTACTGGAGTGCACCTGCTAACTGCAGATTTATGGCTTCTGTAGGTTATGCTTGGCTTGCTTCCACAAAATAGTAATTATTGCTTTATGGAATAGAAATTGTTAAGAGAGCTCTCCACCTGTAAGCTTGGGGAGTTAAACTTTTCACCCTTGGTTATAGGTCCTCTGTATAAAAGTTTTCCCTGGAGATGGCTCGGGGCTGTACTTGGGTTCTGACACCCTTGAGTTAGTGGCTGGCCAGCTAATAAAAGACTTGCCTTCTCTCTCGGTGACTGTGCCTATCTTGCTGCTCTGGTATTCATTTTCTGCTATTAGAACCAACTTCTTTGCAACATAAACTGAAGACCAGCAGAGCTCCAGGAATCCTCTAGGCCTTCAGCACCAGATTGGGACTGCATGACATCCAGCCTCGTGGACTACTGGATTCTCAGCCTCCGATGTAGTACAGCTATTGGTGGATTACTCTAACCCTATCGTGTAAGCCAATTAATAAACCCCCCTTCATATATATGTATATAAATACATATTCTTTTGTTAGTTCTGTTCTTTAGACAACTTTGACTAATGCGGACGCCAAGGACTCACCAGAGAGCAGCTGCCAGTGTAGGTTTCCTCTCACATCTTGCCAACAGGAATCCCTGTTTGCCAGCGTGTCAGGGACTTAAGATATATGGATATGACATGAGAATATGATCTTATATGTTCATGTGTCACCTAATAGTGGGGACATGTTCTGTGGCATGTGTGGTTAGGTAATTTAGTCATCCTGTGAATACCACTGAGCATTTACACAACCCTAGATGGTACCGCCTATAGCACACCTAGCCTAAAACATCTGTGTATTGTTGCCTGTTGCTCCCAGGGCCACAATGGACAAAGAAGATTAAATGGGGCACGAGAAGGCTGGTGTGGTGCACTCTTTAAGTCCCAGCACTCAGGAGGCAGAGGCAGGAGGATATCTCTGAGATCAAGGCCAGCCTGGTCTACATAGAGAGTTCCAGGCCAGCTGGGGCTATAGGAAGAAAGATCTTGTCTCAACCAATCCAATCCAGTCCAAACCAAACCAAACCAAACCAAACCAAACCAAACCAAACCAAACCAAAAGTGCAGCATGAGAGAAAATAACGGATAAGACACCTCGGACACCAGACAGATACTGTTTTACAGATAACTGCATGGTGGGGATGGAACCCAGGGCTTTGTGATGATTGACAAGGGTTCGACCACTGAGCTACACCCCAGTGCCAGTGATTTACCCTTTAATAAGCAACAGTGGAAAATTGCAACAGTGAATGTATAGGCTTGTATTAATTTAATGAAGCGTGATTCATGGTACATAGCTGTACATGTGGACTCTCACACATCTGTTCACACCAGCATCGACACAAACAGTGAGGGTGTGTTGTGCTACAGTAGAGCTTGGCAATGTAGGAAGTTTTCAGCTCTATTACCATTGTGTGTGCGACAAGCTGTTTCTATAACTTCCTCGCTGTAGATATATATGCATATATGTAAACCCCAAGACGTTTTCTCTCTTCTCTCTCCTTTTCACCTCTCTCTCTCTCTCTCTCTCTCTCTCTCTCTCTTCCTTTCTCCATAACCCGTACTGGCCTTGAACTTGCAATCCTCCTGTCATAGCCTCCTGAGTGCAGTGGTTACAGGTATGTGCCACCAAACCCAGCTACCTTGACCATCTTCAGCTCCAGCTTTCTTGCCTATGAGCATGCTGGCTTAGTTTCCTCTGGACAGGTGGGATGCCCATACTCCCTCACCTGGGCCAGAGAAAGCTGGCAGATGATGTGGGAGGCAGAGTTGGAACCCAGGTACTAGTGTCAAAATGATTATGGAAACTCAGAATGGGCAAAGCACTATGACTGTGGCAGAGTTTAAAGCCGGAGGTCAGGGTGGGCCTGGTTACACCTCTGCCCCTTTTTCCTGGTTGCCTTAGCTAAGGCTCTCCTCATCTGGGCGTCGGTCTCCTCATCTGGTAGCTGGTAGAATGGCCAGTCAGGGCCTTCCTGCTTATGAACCCGTACTTTCTGTTTCTTCCACCACCCTTTCTTCCACCCTTGTTTTTCGTGTATTGTTCAACTCCTACTCATCCTACAAGGCCCAGTGGAAAAGCTGCTCCAGGGCCATTCTTGCACCACGGCACAGATCACCGAATCATTTCTTTACCTACCATTACCCCTCATGTCTGACTCATTTCCGTGGGTTTGTCGTGTCTTTACCTGTCTTTGCCTTGCGTGAAAGGGACAGCTAAGGGAAGAAACTGCTGGAGCCCACCTTTTCTGAACTCCTTGGTCGCAGGCCTCTTTCAGGCCCCTCGGCTACCGCTTGCCGGCCCCTCCCAGGGCACAAGGGCGTCAGGACCATGAAGACCCAAAGCCAAAGAGTCTCACGGAGCGAACTGTCGCTGCGCGGTGAGATCCTCCCTAAGCCAGGACCGGCTGTGCGAGGACACAGGTGCGCACCGGAGCGCACTGCCTGCAGGTGGCAGCCGGCTTCGCCGCGTCCTTTGGGATCCAGGGACTCTAGTGCGTCACGCGCAGCCCCCGTAGGGCTGCCAGGGCGCCCGCATGGTCCCAACCCGGGTCACTGAGACTCCGAGGACCACCGCTGCCCGCTCCAGGTCCGCGGAGGAGGAGCCACAGCCCGGCCCCGCCCCGGAGAACCCCGCCCCGTCGGGCCCCGCCCTCGGACCCGAAGTGGCCGGACGTCGCCTGTTCCCGGCGACAGGTGAGCTCAGCCAGCTCAGTGCGCTCCCACCATGGGCAACAGCGCGGGTCGCAGCGACTTCGAGTGGGTCTACAGCGACCAGCCACACACGCAGCGGCGCAAGGAGATGCTGGGTGAGCGTGGGCGCCCGGGGCACTGCCGAGGGCCGGAGGCAGCGCGCACCCCCAGTCCGAGGGTCCCCATCCCCGCCAACTGGGGACCCAGTGCCACAGCCTGACGCGCGGCACGGCCGGAGGATGTGCTCTGGGGGCGCTGCGGTTTCCTTAACAGCAACCAGTGGGCGCCTCCTGTGTGCAGACCCTTTGCGTTGCGGCCCAGCGCTCAGGGGGACGCCGTTCAGAGAACCAAAGCTGGAGTCTCTTCTTTGGGGACGAGGGGGACACCAAAGATGCCACCAGAGGGTCGCGTCTCTCCTGCCAGGCAGCCGGCACTTGGCGGCTGCTGCTCTGCAGCCCCGTGGTCCCCTGCGAGGTCATTTTTACCCCGCGGTCACTGTCCTGTGGGTTCCCTGCTTACTGGTGTCAGCCGGCAGGTGTCTGCGGTTGGAGGCGCCTTTCCCACGATGTTCCCAAACCATCTCCCGGCTCCCTCGCCCTGCGGGTTCCCACACTTTGGCGCGCGCCCTGAGCTCCTGCACAGTCTTCTGTTTCACCAGTTAGATTGAGAAACTTTCCTCGTGGGCTTAATTCTTTTTTATTCGATGATTGCTTTCAGGTTTTATTGCCGGTTGTATCTGAGGCCTGTCTTGAAGGTTTTCGGGTGTTTTCTGGTTTCTAGCCTGTCTTCTGCCTGGTCTTCAATTCCGAAGAATGGATGGACTCTTTCGCTTGGGCCTTTTGTTTTGCCGTCCTCCTCACCTGCCCCTAAGTTCTGGAACCCTCCTCCTGGCTACCTTTACATCTTTCAGACTCGGGCTGCATCTGGACTACTACCACTGCCTGGAAACCGTTGTTTTGTGTCTTGTGGTTTGTGTCTTGTGGTTTTCACCGGCGAACTGAGGGAACCCACCATCCTCCACATCCATAAACTTCCTGGGGCTAACCGGAGGGACCTTGGTTCCCCTTTCTTTCCCACTGGAGGACGGCAGGTGCCTTGGCTGAGGGGCCTGGTAATGCTGAGGCTGTAGCAGGTGTTGCTGCCTTTGGGGAGGCGGTCTCCAGCCTCCATCACTGCATTGATTGGGCAGGTAGACAAGGCCGAGACACACATGGCAGCTGTGTGTTGCTGCCCACAGGTGCTCTTAGGCTGGAAAATAGGAGCTCTCGATCACCAGCTGAGCCTGCTGAGCCTTGCCCTCCCAGTCTGCAACACTGGCTGGTCACCCTGCCTGGCACATTCGGATGACGATGAGGTGGGATATTTATGGGGTGGGTGCCAGGAAGGTATCTGGGACTCCAGGCAATATGACAAGCTCCTCCCTTCCACCCTGCTGTATAGCCTGGGCTTGCTCCAAATTATGATCCTCTCACCTCTGCCTTTTTAGTGCTGGGATCATGGTTTGTGAGACTTCAGTCAGAAGAAGAATCTTCTCAGCTCATTCTGGTCTCTAAATTTCTATAGCTGAAGATGGCCTTGAACTCCTGATTCTCCTGTCTACCTTCCTAGTGCTGGGGTTACAGGTGTTCACTACCACACCCAGCTTTATTGGGTTCTGGGGAATGAAACAGGGCTTTGCACATGCTAGGCAAGCACTCTACCAACTGAGCTACATCCCCCACCTTAAAGAGAGACTGTGGCCCTGGAATCCATCCAAGGCTTCCTGGAGAGGTTGGCAGAAATGATAAGGTCTAGAGGTGGAAGAGGCACCTGTGTCCAGGCTCAGCAGGTGAACTGGCCCCTCCAGGGAGCTCCACTAACAGGGCAGAGGTTTCCAACACCCACCCAATTTGCCCTGGTAAACTTAAGATGTGTTTTTTCCCTGCTTGAATGCTGATCTTTCTTCTTGCCCACCCCTCTGGCTCAGTCTTACCCAGTGTGGTTCAGTGCCCCCTCCTACAGAAAGCCCCCCAGATGCCCTCACGGTCCTGGCTGAGCAGGCAAGGGCTCTTTCTCTGGGTTTTGCCTCCCTGGCTCCAATGTCCAAGCTCTGGTCTCTGGCACAGAGGTTTAGAAGCTGGAAGAGGGGTTGGCTCCATAGCTTGGACTCCAACCGTCATTCATGAGTGAAGGGTGAGTCAGAGCCCAGATGAGGAAGTTGTAGCTTGGGCAAGATAAAAGGTTGATAAATGAACTTTTCTTGCACAGTTGTGATTGGTGAAGCTGCCCAGGACTCCATGAACATCAGTGGCAAAAGTTCTGTCCTGCAGACAGAACTGGGGATGGGCATGAACGTCCAGACAGCTTTGCTCTCCCCAGCCTGGGAGAAATCCTACATTAATGGCTCTGCCTCTTTTCAAGTGCCAATTAGAAGAGGCATAGCTTGCCCTGTGCCACACAGCCTGGAGCCACAGAGGCTGGACTGGCACTCAGACCAAATTGTGTTCTGTCCAGCTGACTGATGTGGTATGTATATACTGAGTTCTGGGGCCCAACAAGTGTTCAGTTAAGATCCTAATGTCCCAGTCAGATACCAGGAAGTCACTGCAAAGAGTTGGCTGCAGGTGCTCTGTGATAAGACCAAAGTCCACTTCTAGATCCTGCTTGAGATGAGGCAGGTTTTCCTGAGCACAGTGTCCTAAGAAAATAGGGTCTCATGGCAGCACCTAAGAACCAGCCTCTCAGGCCAGGGTGAGGCTGCCTGTACTGGACCGGCAGGAAGCTGGTCTATTACACACTGAGCCAGGCTGGGGAACACAAGCTTGGATTTGTTTCTTTGAAGATAAATAGCTTTGTAATTTTGTTTGCTTAAAAAAAAAAAAAAACATTTGAAAGCAAGGCACACATAGAAAAAAAAAAAAAAAAAAATTCTTTTTTTCAAATAAAACAAAAGAGGGAAACCAGGAAATAAAACCGAGTTGTCGGATTATTTGCTTAGGAAAGGCTGGGCTGGGACTTCTATCAGTGGTGATGGCCTTTGGGAAGAGCCAGAGCATAGTGACAGGAGCTGATGGGGGGAAGGTGACTCTGGTCCCTCAGTCATGGAGATGCAGACTGTGGAGCGGCTGGCGGGAAACCCGCCCTCCTCCTGGGACCCTCTGCCTCCTTTGCCAGGTGACGTTCTGAGATTACAGGAGAGGGTCTGTCTGCCCTCTGGCCACTCTCTGGCTGCCTTAAGTGTCAGGCTCTCCTGATTTTGAGGTCAGGGGTAGGGCTATACTGAGTGATGGGCAGTATACGTGGTGCTATGGCCTGCAGGAATGGGAGGATGGGGTGTGGGGAGCAGGCCCCCAGCAGTTCAAAAGGTAGACCCCACCCTTCAACGCTGAGAGATCCAGACACTTTCATGGCCTTTGCAAGCATTGTTCTGTGTTGGAATGATTATTTATTTAGTAAGTTTCATGGTGCTGGAGATGGACCTGGCACATACCAGGCAAATACTACTACCGAGCTGCACCCTAACCCCTTGACACTAGAATTATCTTTGCAAAGCAATATCCTGACAACATACCCACAGGTGTGCATATACGCTCACATGCACACATTCATGTTCACACATGGTGACATAATGGTGTATGTGAAACCACTGGCTCTCTGGAAGGAAACGAAAGTCACGAGTGGTAACATTTGCCAGTTTCTGTAACTATTTCCATCATGACTGGTTCCCAGACTTCTGGGTGTATCCCTTAGGTGGAGCCAGGGAGAGATTCACCCTCAGAGTTTCTGCCAGTGTCCCTGTCTATAGAGCTGTGGCCGTTGCCCCTCCCCTGTAAGGTTCCTCTGTGCTGTTCTCTCTCACAATGCCACACCCTCTACTTTTGTCCCCAAGGTGTAATTCCATAAAGGGTTTTGAGGTGACTGCTTTCAAGGTTGCAGCTTTCTTAATGCTGGGAGTCCTTGACTGTAGCTGTGCCTGGGGGCTCCTGGGCCCAAGGGAAATTGTGAAGCAGCACAGACTCCAAACATCTTTGCCATCTCCAGCCAAAGGCCACCAGAATCAGCCTAGGTTTCTCTCCCACCAGATGCAGGGTCTGGTGAGGTCACTTGTCCCTAACTGGTGTCTCCATGCAGCAAGGTAGGGAGAACTCTGATCTACTTTCTAAGGGTACTGATCCCACCACAGGGCTCCATCTTGTGACTAAATCACCCTGAGGCCCCACTCCTATCCCATCACATGGGGAGCAGAGCCTCAACTTCTGAATTGAGAGGGGGGTGCAAACACCCAGAACATGATGAATTTGCCTTTTTTCTTTTAACTTGGAGCAGCCTTCCTTGTCTTCATTTCAGAGACATTGAGTGTGGTCATTTGTATTTCAGGACCCTGGGGAGGGGGTACACCTGCTTGGTTGTCTCTGGGTGAGGAGTGGGGCCAGGCTTAGGGTCAGGCATGGGCTACCGGCTCTGTTCAAATGGACCACTGTCCCCATGTTGCCAACACAGGCCTTGCCAGTGTGGCTCACATGGGCCCTCAGTCTTCTTTCTTCTGGCCCCCATTCTGCTGTCATGGCTTGCCCTAATGCCGTCTTTAAATTTTTAACAGCCTTGCTGAAGTATGCCATACAATCCTCTCATTCTAAGGGCACACTCCAATGCTCTTTATCATGTTACATGACCCAGTTTGAGAACACTTCCATCACCCCAAAGACCAAGAGGCCATTCCCACCATCACTGATCTCTTCAGTGGGCAAGTTTCAGATTGACCGTCCAGCTTGCTGTGTGGCCCTCACAGCTGTGTATGAGCTGGCACTCCCATCCTCGACTACAGGCTGGACCCTCCAGCTGGATCTCCAGCATCAGCCTGAGATCCTCAGAGATCTTCAGCACATATCCGTCACTAGGATGAAAGGCAGGTTTAGTAAGTGGTGGGCGAAGAGGTAGTTGTGAGATTCCTGAAGGTGCTTTGGACCATTGTTGATGTTTTCTGTGTTAAGTGGAGTCTCCCAAGGACCTCCCACATGGACAGGGCAGGGCCAGACTTGTCTATGGCTCAGAACTGAGCTGGGAAAGATCAAGGTGATAGGGAGACAGCTCCACTGAATGAGGCAGAGCTGGGAGGAAGTGTGGCCTAGAAAGGCTG